CTTGCGGGCCGCAAAACTAGGCTTTCCAGTCGCCATAGCCAGCAGTCTTCCTAAAAATCCGTTGCAAATTTTGTCATCAAAACTCGTCATAGAGAGAAACGGAAATCCGACTTTCAAATGCGGCAGGCTTCCAAAGCAGCTCTTTTGCAGTTTGTAAGCAGTTTTGGTTCTAGGGCCTGGCAGCAGCTGAAAGGACGGACCGAAAACGGTCAAGAGGGTTCATGGACATAAAATGGCTATTAAAATCAATTTGCGGCTTCTTAAAATCCACCTGTCGTTGCTGGATTTTATGTTAAGGGAAATCAATACACTTCTCCGTCCTCCTACAAAAACCTGCAATACTCATCATAGGTGCTTCCTTGTGAAAAATTACATGCGCCATGAAGAGAGGACATAGGGATACTTTTTCGACGGAAATGCGTCAGCAACACTCATTCCCTCCCTTGCACTTCTTTCCTACGTATATCCGCCACTTTTGCAGAGAAGCATATTTTCTGGTAAAAAATAACATAATTTTTTGGAAAATTTTCATCCACTTTTCTTAAAATTTACAGCCTAGAAACAAGTTTGATGCACATGAATGAATAAACAAGAAAGACTGAATCTAATTCCATCCACTGAAGACTTCTTTGCTACGTCTCTGCATCAAAACTGTAAAAACGGTGCCGAACCGAGTTATTTTCATATCACACTGCTAATCATTTGCAAATAAACTTCAGAATCCCAAAAAAGAGCTAAATCCTAAAATGTTACTAGTCGGCCGTAAAGGAAGCTATTTTTTGCGAATCTAAGGAAAAAAAAATTTTTTGCAATTTCATCCTTCTGAATCTTTTGAGGAGACAGGCCTTTCTGACTGGCAGGAAAAACAGGGAAATAATAAAATCATAAGAGATCAACTGCGAGGCAATTTATAAAAAAATTTTTAATCTTCAGGACATAAAGACAGCCGGGATGCTCGGAAAATCTGATTCATAAACAAAAATTAATCATAGTAAAAGACACCACAGCTTAATCAGAGAGCTTGCAGGGAAAGTAATTTACATAATCATTTTTCCCTCTTCGATTAAGACCGCTGCACCAAACGACATTATGTATTCCCATTTTCCTTTGTTTATTGCTCAGAAACATCGATGAGTGTCAGCAAACCGTTAATGATAAAATGAGTTACTTCTGATAAAACGGAGTGGCTATGTGTGAATGATATGTACA